ATTACAATTTGGAATTTTTTTAAAATAACAGAAACCCCGTCTTTTTGTTTCTTTTGACTGCACCGGAAGATGGAAAAGTTTTCCGAAATATATGTAGTGCTGTGCTAAAGAATAGAAAATAAAAACGACCGAATAAACCAAGGAAATTTTTATTTATATAAAATTCTGCTACCGTCAAGAAATTATTCTTACTCAAATAAGTAGCCTGTTCTTGCTCAGATTCGGCTTCGACAGATACAGACTTTGGACCGTACTCGAAAACATAACACTGGTAAAACGAATGAAGAATCTTAGGAATTTATTCTAGTACAATCTGAGATTGGCGTCCTTCTATATATACGATGTTACAAAGGTGGATCTAAGGAGAATTGAGAGTGTGTGTATGTTGAAGAGATTCGGAATCTTCAAATATACAAATTCGACTGTCGATAAGTATATCGATGGCCTAACTGGAAGAGGCGCCGACGTCTCTAGTCGGAAGGTTTCAGGTTTGATCCCTGGTCAATGTATTCATTTTTTCGTTTCTTTATTTCCACTTTTTCTTTGGGGATGTGGGGGTGTATTTTTCAAAATCTCGTAGGGAAATTGGATATTATACAGGGTTAGGGTAGCCATATGTGAGTGGTTGGGATTGAGTACGAAAGTGAAAAAAAAGGTCCTTTTATCCTACAAAGTCAATTTATTGGAGACCGTTTCGAAGAGATTACTACATCATCAGGCACACCATGACATAACCGTAATCGATATGCATGTTATCAATTTTGAGATTAGACACCTATAGTCTGAAAAGTATTATTTTTTTTTATTAGCAAGTCTTTATGGTACACCCTGTCAATTTGAACAAAAAACGTATAATTCATCATTTGACAGCCGTACATTTTTATTTTTGCTTTCAAGCTTACTGTTTTGAAATATTGTAAAGTAAATTAAATATATACTGTGGGTTGAATTTATGCTATTAAAACAAGTATACGTTTTTTGGTGAAATTTACCATCTACTAGCTCAAAAATATAACCGCACAAAATTTTAATTCAATACGTTAAATAACAAAACAAAAATATTGCAAAGATTAAAAATAATTTTAACTTTAATTTAACATCTTGTATCTCATAACATTTGACCCAGTGTTATTTAACAAAATATTAATATTTTGAGGTCCTGAACCTATGGGTAAAATATTTGCCATTCCTTATATTTTCATATTTCCAAAAAGTGTTAGTTGTTTTGAAAGTTTATGTACAATTGGTTGTTGAAGTACTTACTTGAACCTTAAATAATTTATCAAATTGCGGCTCTCTCGGCCCGATGAGGGCCCTGAAATGTCAGTTCCCCAATATTTTTATCCAATTATATTAAAAAAACAACCCATTGTTGGCCTAATTAACAAAACAGATGAGAAACCATGCCATCTAGCTATCACCTAAGTTAGCACTACTGACATAATTTGATAGTTCATGGGATCAGAGAAACTAAGATTTTACTTATTTACAAGAATTAAAAGTTACTTCAAGATCTCACGCTGAATTAAAAATGCATGTTAATTCTAATTGAATCAGTAATAGCACCATCATTAGTTCTGACTTAAGAGTATGAGCATAAAGTAGGAGTTTATATTTCAATATATATGAATACATTGTATTACAGCTTTAGCGAGTAGATGCTCTCATAAAAGTGAGCAGAACTCCTATTTACTTGATACGCCTAGTAAAGC